GTGTCCTGGCAGCGCGCGAGGCCGAGCTGCGGCGCCTGCGGAAGATGAACACGGAGTTCGAGGAGCAGAACGCCATCCTGCAGAAGCACACGGAGAGCATGAACTGTGCCAAGGAGAAGCTGGAGCAGGAGCTGGCCCAGGAGGAGAGGCAGACCCTGGCCCTGCAGCAGCAGCTCCAGTCCGTGCGGCAGGCCCTGACCGCCAGCTTTGCCTCCCTGCCCATCCCTGGTGAGTGGGGGGCACTGTGGGGCTCCCCTGGGTGCTGGGACCCTGTGCCTGTGCAGAGGGGCACCGTGGGACTCCCCAGCTGCTGGGACTCCTGCCCAGGTAGAGGGTCACTGTGGGGGTCCCCCTTGGTGCTAGGACCCTGTGCCCATGCAGGGGGACACTGGGGGTCCCCCGGCCCATGCAGAGGGGCACCATGGGACAGTAGGGTGGTGATAAGTGCCCATTTGTTGCTGGGGTGGGATCCTGCTGCACTTGGGGGGTCTCCAGGCAGCCCAGGGGGGGTGAGAGCCACCTGGCTTCTGTGTCCTGGGGCAGGGTGGGCTGGGGGCCATCCTTCTCTGGAACCACATTTGGAGCTGCCCTCTAAATTGACCCAGATCCATGTGCTCCTGAGCTTATGCCAGTGCAGGCTCTGTTCTGCTGCAGGAGGTGGCACCTGGTGCTGGGTGGGGACCTGTTGGCCCTGCTCACTGTGCTGTCACCTCGCAGGCACGGGAGAGACCCCCACACTGAGCACTCTGGACTTCTACATGGCCAAACTGCACAGTGCCATCGAGAGTAATCCCCTGCAGCATGAGCCACTGGTGCTGCGTGTCAAGGAGATCCTGTCCCGGATTGCCAGGTGAGCACAGGGTGAGCTGGGCTGGGAGCAGGGCCCAGGTGTCCCCAGGGAGCACTGGGACCATGGGGTGGCCCAGGGCAGCTGGGTGATGGGAGCTGAGCAGGGAAGGTGTGGACAGAGATGGGCTCAGAGCTGCTCCAGGTACTGTGAGGAGAGGGAAGCTGTCTCCCAGTTCAGGGTGTGTCCCCATATTCAAAGAGCTGTTGGAATGAGTCCAGAGGAGGCCATGGAGTTGTTCCAAGGGCTGGAGCAGCTCTGCCATGGAGTCAGGCTGGGAGAGCTGGGGGTGTGCAGCTTGGAGAACCAAAAGGCTCCAGGGAGACCTTGGAGCTCCTTCCGGTGCCTAAAGGGGCTCCAAGAGAGCTGCAGAGGAACTTGGGACAAGGGATGGAGGGACAGGACACAGGGAATGACTTCCCACTGCCAGAGGGCAGGGACAGATGGGATATTGGGAAGAAAGTCATCCCTGTGAGGGTGGTGTGAGGGGCTGGAATAGATTTCCCAGAGCAGCTGTGGCTGCTCCATCCCTGGGAGTGTTCCAAGCCCGGCTGGATGTGTCATGGAGCAACCTGGGCTGGTGGGAGGTGTCCCCACGGGAGGGCATGGAGTGAGGTGATCTTTAATGTCCTTCCAACCCAAACCAGTGTGGAATTCTGACTCAGCTGTGCTTTCTTCCCACAGTGAACACTTGTGAGAGGACCAGTCCCTCCGGAGCCTGGGGCTGGCTGGACCCCGGGACTATCCCTTGGAGCTCACACAAGGGACAGTCCCTGCTGGGGGTCCAGCTGCTTCCCCCCTGCCCCTTGCACCTTGCTGCAGCGTGAGCTGGGACCCCACAGTGCCCCAGAACCCTCCAGCTGGGACCCCACAGTGCCTGGGCCCCACAGCTGCACCAGCTCCAGGGACCTCAAGCTTCAGGGGACGAGTGGTGACAGGGCTGAGAGCTCAGCTGCCACCGTGAGGGGTCAGCAGTGGCATAAGCCCCCCTGCTCTCCCCTGAAACTCTCGGGGCTGTGGTGACAGAGGCATGCTTGGAAGCCCTTGGGACTGTGCACTGCCTTCCAGCCCCTAGACCAGCCTGGGAGCTGCTTGGTGGTCCCAGCCCACAGCAGGGCTGGGGGCAGCTCCTTCCCCCTGCCTCTGTCTGTATTTAATCATCCCCACGGGTGCCTTCTTGTCCC